GCTGACTTGACCGGCGTCCCGGCGGAGTACTGCGATCTTCGTGCGGTGTTCAGTAGGTCGCGGGCCACCTCTCTACCTCCGCATCGTCCCTACGACTGTGCCATAGACCTTCTCCCGGGCACTTCTCCGCCTAAGGGTCGTTTATATTCCCTTTCCGGTCCTGAAAGAGAGGCCATGGACAGGTATATACGTGAGTCACTACAGGCTGGGCTTATTCGCCATTCCTCCTCTCCCGCTGGGGCGGGGTTTTTCTTCGTTCAGAAGAAGGACGGCTCCCTACGCCCTTGTATCGATTACAGAGGTTTGAATGACATTACAGTAAAGAACAGGTACCCCCTACCTCTAATGTCTTCTGCTTTTGAATTATTGCAGGGAGCTCAGGTCTTCACCAAATTAGACCTCCGCAACGCCTACCATCTGGTGCGCATGCGGGAGGGGGATGAGTGGAAGACGGCATTCAACACCCCCTCGGGACACTACGAGTATCTGGTTCTTCCGTTTGGGCTGACCAATGCTCCGGCCGTTTTCCAGGGTCTCGTCAATAGCGTTCTGGGTGACATGATCAATCAGTTTGTCTTTGTGTATTTGGATGATATTCTGATTTTTCTCCACTTACTCCACTTACACACTCAGCACGTTAGACGGGTCCTCCAGCGCCTATTAGAGAACCAGTTGGCGGAGAAGTAGATAGAAGCTGTCGCCAAGTGGCCAGTCCCCGACTCCCGTAAGGCCCTGCAGCGTTTCCTGGGTTTTGCCAACTTCTATCGGCGATACATCAGGAATTTTGGTCAGATCGCTGCTCCGCTCACGGCATTAACCTCCACCAAGGTGTCCTTCAGGGCGAACCAGGATGCTCAGGTAGCCTTTGACACATTAAAGTCCCGTTTTGTCTCTGCACCTGTTCTGTTGGTTCCAGATCCTGAGTCCCAGTTCATTGTCGAGGTTGACGCATCGGACGTCGGGGTTGGCGCAGTTCTGTCTTAGCGATCCCTCCGCGACGGGAAGGTGCACCCATGTGCGTTCTTCTCTTGCCGTCTCAGCCCTGCAGAACGTAACTACGACATTGGCAATAGAGAACTGTTGGCGGTGAGATCGGCCTTGGGGGAGTGGCGTCACTGGTTGGAGGGGTCGGCGCAGCCCTTCTTGGTCTGGACGGATCACAAGAATCTTGAATATATCCGTTCGGCCAAGAGGCTGAGCTCGCGTCAGGCCCGCTGGGCACTTTTCTTTGGCCGGTTCAACTTCACCCTCTCGTACCGGCCAGGGTCCAAAAACATCAAGCCCGACGCTCTCTCGCGCCTGTTCGGGGCTCCGGAGGGGGAGCTCACGGCCGAAGCCATCCTTCCTGAAGGGGTGGTGGTCGGGGCTCTTTCTTGGGGTATCGAGCGGCGAGTAGAGGAGGCCGGTCGAGGGGTGCAAGTGCCAGGGAAGTGCCCGGCGGGCAGGTTGCCGGTGCCGGCTGTGCTGCGCCCCGAGGTCCTTCAGTGGGGTCATCTCGTACTGGCCAGGATCCAAGAACGTCAAGCCCGACGCTCTCTCGCGCCTGTTCGGGGCTCCGGAGGGGGAGCTTACGGCCGAAGCCATCCTTCCTGAAGGGGTGGTGGTCGGGGCTCTTTCTTGGGGTATCGAGCGGCAAGTAGAGGAGGCCGGTCGAGGGGTGCAAGTGCCAGGGAAGTGCCTGGTGGGCAGGTTGCCGTGCCGGCTGTGTTGCGCCCCGAGATCGCCCTCCCGATGGTCTGCTTCATCCTCTTCCTGTCCCTTCCCGTCCATGGTCACATATCGCCCTTGATTTTGTCTCTGGGCTTCCCCCATCGAAGGGTAACACTGTGGTTCTTACTGTGGTGGATCGCTTTTCTGCCCGGGAGACCGCCCAACTGATCGTGGATCATGTCTTCCGTCTCCATGGATTGCCGGTTGACGTGGTTTCAGATAGGGGCTGTTGCAGCTTGTTCCAGCCGCTGCTATCCACCCATCTGTGTGGTTGGGGATTCCACGTCCACACGAACTGTCCGTGGAGGCGCTCATTGCCCGTGGTGATAAATCTCTGTACAATAAAGCCTCTGTTGAACCCGCACCTGAATCCAGCCTATTCCTTGATACTTGGGATTCACATTTCCACCATGCACTAAGAATGTTTACACATTGTGTTCAATAAAGCATAAAAATGCATCATTAATGTATTATTTAAACAGACTTAGTTTTTGTAACTTAGCTGAAGATCCGATTCAAAAGATAATTTTTTTTTATAAGCATTTTATGCATAACTTGTCACATACTTTTCCGTTTTTTACGTTCAGTATTTTCTCATTTCACAGGTATGGTTTTGTTTTCATCAAATGTGTAGCATTCGGCTGCATTTAATATAAGAGGAGCACATTACAGCTGTTCTCTCAGACACAGTGCTGAAGGATCACATCTGAATTTGTCATTTCATCTGAAACAGTCCGATTTTAAAGCCGGTCTGCAGATTACTTCTCTAAGACTTTGGTAGCAAAACTTGAAGCAAATTTTGAATGTTAAGATGTCTTCTCTCTAGATGTTGCTGCAGGCTGCTTTCAAAAATATGATTATGGCCTCTTAACTTTGAAATTCTGACCTGCTATTGTCTGAAATTACATTTTACCACCTCTCTGGACCAAATGTTATTGGATTATTTAGTAGATTTATTGCTTCTATCTTCTCAAAAACAAACAATGTGGTCGGTCCACATTTTTTTTGTTGACATTTAGGCACAAAGAAAGCACAGTAAATCGATTGCAGCTCCAAATAAGATGACCTTGTCCTAAGAGAGACAGGGATTGATCAATACCTACACTGGAAGGTGACCTCCTACTTGAGTCACCTGGGCACCAGCTCTTCAGGGATGTGTGCTGTACATCTGAATTAGTGGAGCATGTGCTTTCCCATAGAACTAATGACTTCAGCTTCAAAAATAACCCCCTTGAAACAATCCGTCACAGCTGGAGTTGAGCACGGTTCAATCTGCGTCCCGGTTTAGAGGTTTATTTCTGCTCTGGCTCATACACCCTGGTGACTATATGACTGGCATTGAGTGTTCAGCACAGCTATCAATCAAAAATGTGCATAGAGAGACCAACACATCTGTCAATGAGCAGAGAGCTGCACTAGTCCATCAGTTATCTTCTAATAACCCCTACCTGGTGTAAACATAGAGACTGACTCGGCTTGCTCTGTCTGGTTCTCTAATGATGTGGACACTGGCCAGCTCAGTGGCGTTTCCATTAGAAGTTCATTGCACCTTCAGCTTTCATCCATCTAAAAGGCTTCCATTTGAAAACATCTAGTACCATGCAATAATAATAATTTTAAAAATGCCATAGCGAAGGTACATGGGTGAATCCACAAATATTAGTACTTCAGTACAAAACCTGCAACTTATTGGTGGTGTCCGAAAGATGAAAAATGCTGTAAACAGAGGTAGAAAGGCAACACGACACATCTGAATCCAATGTGTGCATCACATCCAGTCTACTAAGATGACTTCAGCTAGATGGATTTTAAAAGCACAGATGTATCTTTTGCTGCCTATGATATCCCATAATCCTGTGTATGAGGCTCTGTGGTTGGTGGAAAGAATGAAACAGCAATGTATTAAACAGTTGAAAGAAGTACATTTATTGATCATTTATGTATGTATTTATTTATTTATTTATACATTATATACACACCACCATTCAAATATTTGAGGATGGTAAGAGGTTTTATTTATTTATTTATTTATTTATGTAAGTATCTTATTTGATTAAAAATACAATAAAAACAGTAATAATGTGAAATATTATTACAATTTAAAATAACTGGTTTCTAATTTAATATATTTTAAAATGTAATTTATTCTTGTGATGAATATTCAGCATTATTACTCCAGTCTTCAGTGTCACATGATCCTTCAGAAATCATTCTAGCTGATTTGCTACTCAAAAAACATTTCTGATTAATAATCAGTGATTAAAATGTTTTTTTGTTTTTTTTTGTGGAAACGGTGATACATTTTTTCATAATATGTTGATGAATTGAAATTTAATGAAATAGCCTTTAATGTTACTTTTGATCAATTTAAATCTTACTTTAAACTTTCATCTGTAACTTTTTCAACCACTTAGTAAATGCAATTAATTAATTAATTTAATAATGTATTAATTATTAATTACAAACCAATATATATATTGGTTTGTATATATATATATATATAAACTTATGACTCAATTTCCTTAAAAATAATAATTGTACTCATTAAATATTTGCTTGGTTATCACTATAGTGAATGTACATTTATTTAGATCATTAATAAGTTGACATGATGAGGCTTGGAAGCCTGTCTGAAACCAATTTTATGTATACCCACAAACTTTTCCCTGCTAAGTCATTGACACAGTCTTTTCTGAAATGCCTAATCACCCAAAGACAACATTTTTATTTATTATTTGTTGTGGTCTATATTTTCTGTTAAAAAGGTATAAAAGGTAACTTCTTTTGCTGAACAAAGTGGCAGCAAAAAGTAAAGAGACAGTCTATTTATTGTTTACTCAATTACTCAATCAATTACTCAAAGTGATCTAGAATGCTTTCAAAAGAGCTAAATGGATCAGTACATTAGCATCAGAATGAGGTTTCTCAGCAGTATTGATACACAAACACTTTATATTGCCAAATAAAAGTCATCATACTTCCCTTCATCACATCATCTGCCCACGATCTCCACAAACAGTCCTAACTTCCTAAAGACTTTCGTAAGCAAGCGCTGCATTCAAAAAACAATAGGACATTTTGTTGAGCGCTGATTTCAGTTCAGGCACAGTGCTATACATGCTGTGGACATAAAAAAGCATTATACAAGTCACATTATCTGACATTCAAATTGTCAGCTTTATCACTGAAGAGGCGTCGCATCGCAGATTAGTATAGCAATTCAAAATATGTCCATGCACAGTATGCACCGCTCCCTGTTATTTCCAAAAGGCCTCGGCTTTACACAATTCAGAGTCTCCATTAAAGTCCATTAAAATACAGGCAGCCAAGAGAGGGAGGTGGAGAGATTGATGGATCTGTTCATTAACCACGGTGCAGTGTTAAAAGCATGCTGGCAGGATTAGTGACAGCATTGCTTGTTTAAACAAATGCCTCGCCATTTTTGTTTTTCACTTCTATTAAGAACAATAAGGGCCAAGGCATTTAAAAAAAAAAATACACATATATAAGGCAGAAACAGTACCAGCGTCTCTTTTTCTGCTTCAACACCTTTGTCTATAGAATCAATCAGCTATGCTGCTGTGACATGACCACACAGGTCACTGGGGAAAGATAATTTTCATGAAAGCTTGTTGCTTGTTTCTTATATTCTCTCTTCCTCTCTACATAAAGTGTAACTCAGCAAGGGACGCGGCACTGAAAACAAAAGCGGCATATGGTTTATGCTCACTTTTTTTACCTTTGCTTCCCATCATTAATCAAAGATGCAGCATAGGCCCTTTAATGCGGGAAACCACAACACACTCTGTACCACTCTGCACTATAAAAAGAAAAAAAAAACAGATCTTTCTAGCTAAAAAAGTGTGGTTGCATCTAAAATTTCTAGCTGACTTGTTAAAATTTTGTAAATATCGAGACGGATGTAATTACCTGGTGATTCATGTATTGTATACATATGTGATTAATGTATTGCTTTT